TACATGCATATCTGTGGAATGTGGGTCCACATATGAGCGCCGATCCCCCGCTGGGTCCAGTCGACCAGGCAGTGCCAAACCGGTCAACTCAGGGGCCCATGTTGCATCAGGCCACATGGAAACCACCACAACGCCCAAATCAGCAATACATAACAGACACAGGACTACAGGGGCCCATTTAAAACAAGCGGCCCAGGCTACACCACGATCCACAGAGCCACCGACAGACAGCATTTGTAGATCAGCGTCCATGGGGAACAAGCCAGCATCAGAGCACAAATCTAAGCAATCTAACATCTCCAACTCCACCTCTGTCACACTACAAAAAGAGAGACGAGCAGAAAGAGAGATGCACAGAGATAAGGATTACAGATCAAGGATTGAGGGAGATAAACAGGCTGGCAGAGAGAAACAGAAATGTACAGGGAAGGAAAAAGACAAAGAGAGATGGATGGGCAGAACAAGAAAAAAACAAGTTGACAAAGAGAAAGAAAAGAAGAGAGACAGCATCCATAGTAAAAACCAGGCTGCTATCGTGATACAGAGAGCATGGAGGAGGTACTGATGTCTTTTTTTTTTACTTCCACTGTAGAATTTATTACTGCCTGCCAGCTTTTTCAGCAGCATTGTTTTCAAGTATCTAAAAAGCACAAATATTAAAATTTTTTTGAGAGTGTAATAGACCAACTTGAATATGCAATTCACGATAGCGTGATTTACTTTCTGCGACTCTCTGATTGGTGGAATTTTCTGCACAGCATCATGGGTAATGCGAACAAATTACTTCAACAAAAACATATACCATTGATTAACAACCTTAGAGCTCACAACAGGTCTGTTTTTAAAAGTTATTGTTAATAATCAGTTTCCCTATGGAGAAAATTAATGATTTTTTTTTACTTACGGAACCCGACTGTTGGATTTCTCTAACAAAGAGATATTTGATTCTGATTGGCCAATCACAGCATTCTGCAATCAAATATTTTGTTTAATGATGGTTAAACTCTGTGTTTGACCATTGTCCTTAGAAACGAGTCTCCTACACTAGAATGAAGCCAATCTGATTCAATCCACTTCTTTGAATCTGATCAAAATTCCATTCGGATCAAGCTCAGTCTGATCAATTGAGGTGTTTAAATGAAGGCTTTTCAGTCCGATTGAGCTATCAGTCCAATTACTTGAGTGCATATAAATGTAGCTACTGTCTCTTCTGTCTCTCAGATCACTCTGAGGGCTCATTCATTTTATGTTTTAACAATTTAATTCAAATGTATTTATTTATAAATAAATGGACAATAAATGATGGCAGGTTTCCCACCACTTACATAAACACACTTACCTTTTAAATCAGTTTTTCCTCCAAATCAGCACAGAAAATGCAAGAAAAGTCTGCAGATTCCATCTTTCCTTGTTTGAGTTGTGGCATGGCTTTGTGCCCACCAGCACATCAACACATCCATGGAGATGTCACCAGAATAGGCCTCTTATTTATTTGTGTGTGTGTAGGGAGTGTAATGGAGGCCCATGAGTGCACTTACTTTTAATGGCGTTACTAAAATAATGGGATTCAGAGTACAAAACAAGGTATATGCACATTCTTGAAGTCCTTTTTTGTGAACAGTAATGTGGTTTGTTTGTTTGATTGTACATCTTTAATATGTTGTTGCTACTTTTGTTGGTGCGTATGAAAGCGTAACATTTTGTTTTTCCATTCAGGTCTTGTATTCGGAGTCATCTTCATAAGTTATTGTGCAAGACTGGGAAAGGGGCGGAGTCTGCTGAAGTCACATCCCTGTTGATTCAGCTATTATGGGAGTGGCCTATCTCTCATGACCACACCCATCATAAAACTTCTGTCGTTCAAGCTCCTCCCACCAGGAATGTAGGGAAAAAGAGCTCTGTGCTGCAAAA